AGAGATGACAGAAAAGACTTTATTCCAAATGCACTGAATATTTACAGGATAAAATTTTAATCAACTATATTTACAGGACAAAATTTGAATCAACTAACCAAGAATGCTGTGAAAATATCAATGAATCTATATTATCCTTCTTTAACCCTCATTTTAAAAAGTAGCAGTTGAGCTCTTTATACTAATTTCTAGATAAGCATAATGTCTTAATTTTAAATTTGTATGTAGCACTCACATAAACATTTGCTCATGTAATTTTACTTCTCTATTTAAGCTTAATTTTAAAAATTTAGATATTTATGTCAGTTGTTTTAGATGTGCTTTGGTGTATTCTATAAAAAAATATTTTGGTTTCTCTAGCCTCCATCTTCCAAGAAGAGCGATGGTTCTGGGACATATACTAAGTTGCAGAATACCCAGGTGAGGGTCATGTCTGAGAAGAAGCAGAGAAAAAAGGTGGAATCAGAAAGCAAGCAAGAAAAGGCTAATCGCATAATCTCAGAGGCCATAGCAAAAGCAAAGGAGCGTGGGGAACGCAATATTCCACGAGTAATGAGCCCTGAAAACTTTCCTAGTGCTTCAGTTGAAGGAAAAGAGGAAAAGAAAGGTAGAAGGATGAAATCCAAGCCAAAGGACAAAGACAACAAAAAAACAAAAACTTGTTCTAAGTTAAAAGAGAAGACAAAAATTGGGTAAGTTGGTTAAGAATTTAATTCCTTTCAATTTTTTCTTTCTTTCTTTTTTTTTCTTTCAGCATATTACGGGGATACAAATGTTTAGGCTATAATATTGCCTTTGCCCCACCCGAGTCAGAGCTTCAAGCGTGTCCATCCCCCAGTCAATTTTTTCTGAAAGTGCAACCTAACTGTCTACTTTTGAGTGTGATATGTTTGCTCCCATATTAGTTGTAAATTGCTAGGTACCATGTGTACCTTATTTCCTTTTTGAATGAATTAGGCTCAGAGATCTAGGCAGAATATTCCAGGATCTCCTAAATTTTATTGTTCTGTGACTGTAGCTTTTTGTACATTAATATTAGTAAAAGAGATTTAAGATAAGAAAATGTTTCAGTATATGAAAAGGAAAAAGGAAAAAAAAATCCATACTGCTATGCCAGTTCCAAATTTACTTTCTTCACAGAATGTGCATTGAAATTCTTTATAAGATTTCTTTACCTCTTAGTTGTACTTGTGCTTCACTGGGCACCTCATAGTTTGGAAACATGAAATACAGCATTTCATTGTAAACCCACAACTTCTGACTGGATCGAATGGCAAGAAAACTAAGACCATATAAACAATAAGCAGCTCCCAGATCTTACCGATTTACTTCCATGCAGACTCCGATTTACTTTATGTAATAAAGAGGCCAGGTGAGGATTAATGCTCCTAGAGAATTATAAGAACAAAGAATTGCTCTAAAAGGATACGTTAATCCTATGTATTTTTATTTGACTGTTTATCTAATACATTTTCAAAAAATAAAATACAATGTTATTTGCTTTATATGTGTGTTTTACATAATCTAAGGTCAACATAGTTTAGAATTGTTTTTGCAGGACTATTTGGTCATTTCTGAAGACTTTATGTAGAGTTTTACATGAAGTGTGTAATCTCAGTTTTCTCTTTTTCACACACACAAAAATGTACAATAAAGAAAGAATTCCCTTATGAAAAATCTTCATTTGCTTAAGAAATTATTGATACGTTATATAGATATTTAGAACTAAAACAATTTATAAACCACATTAATTCTTAGCATTTTAAATGCAACCACCAGATTATTTAGTTTGGTCTTGATGCTATTCATTCCAAACCATTAAATAATATGGCCTCTCTTGTTATACTATATCAATAAGTAATATTATTGATTTTGCATTTTATTTGCAGACAGCTAAAATGAAATTTGAAAGTTAGATTTCTACTCCTTTTATTTTTTAAAGGTATTTGGTATGAAAGTAACTTATTTTTCCAAAATTCTATCTAGTTTTAATTTTGGAAACCCCATATTTAATCTTTTGCTATACTAAAAGTTAATATCATTAAGGTTTTTCAGTTTTAACTTGGCTCAGAGATCTAGGCAGAATAATATACCATTTGGAAGGGTAACATTTTGAAAAACAATGCATAGATCAAGAGGAAATTGATAAATTTCAAAAGTTATAGTAACTATTATTTGCTTTAAATTTGGGG